AAGGAATATATAATTAAGGCAAATTTTTTCTTAGATTTTCTGAAACATTAAAGCCTAGCTTTGTAATAGTCTTCAGTTTACTGTTTTCTGAGCCAAATCTCGATGGTTGGTAACTAATAAGTTAGCTGTGATTGTTTTGACTGCAGGACTTTTGTCTGAGTGTGAATCATGTTTCTTCCTTGTAGATATTTTATCTCCTCTATTTGGGACACTTGTTTCCTCAGCTCAGGTGAGTTTATGGGTACGTTGTTTTTTACTCAGGTGAAAACAGACAAATAATTCAACAACTTTATAAGGAAGTATGAGAGGTGAGGATGTGTCTCAGTCCTGTATGGAGCCCTTGGGACAGAACATGCCTAGCTAGAGACGCACCAAGTGCTGCAGTTGTAGGATCAAGGGTGTGGTATGTGGATGTCGCTAGTGCTAAAGACTGACCAAGAAGTCACTTAGGACATTGTAGACTGAAAAACTTCTTGGAACACTAATAATCTTTTAGGACTCTTGTGCAGCCCCCTGTAGAGGGGTGGATAGAGTGGTAAAGGCAAGATTGATTTGCCTTAAAAAATGAGATGCCCTGCACCTTCCAGAAAGGTGTGAGTAGAAGTTACAGGTTCTTGTGGATGTTCTATGGCTCTTACCTGAATAAGCTGGTCCCTTTCTGTTGATAAATCACATTAGCAGTGCCAAGGAATAGTCAGAAGAAAGGGCTTTGTCCCTCAAGCAAGCCAAGCTCTCTTGCCCTTTGTGTTTGATTTGGCCTTGGAAGCCCTGGTCTCCAGATGGAATAGGGTGCACCTGTGGGTACTCCCAGCTAGACTGAGCTCCTGTGCCCAGGATAGCCCCAGGCATGAGAAGGTCCATGGTAAGACCAACTTGTGGTCCAGATGAGATTGTTAACAGCTTAATGAGTGCCCAGAGTCAAATATGTGTGTACCCTGCTAATCAGTAAGTTGGATTGGAAGGAAATGTCCTTTTCTACAAGTCCTGGGATCTTTTACCCAGAATCTATTATTTTATAATCACTTAAGAGAAAAGGGATGCATGTATAAGCCCCTTTATTTAAATTAATAGCAGGGCTGTTAGGAATAATGTAGCGACACCCCACTGACAAGTACAAATGCTGCCAAAGCATGTGGAGATAATTTCCTTAGAACCTATTTTTCTTGTACATTTGATTGCATTTATGCAGATTCCTTTAACCATGTATTCTTTCAAGATAAAATTTAGGTTTATTTATGAGTATTGCAGCATAGCTGTACAGGTTTATAAATTATATATGGAGTGCATTATTATTGTAGAGTTTCTTTCAGTTTAGTGAAGGGTTCTTCTGAACCGCTCTGCTGCATAACCTGTGGGTTACTTTTCTTTTCCCCCGTCTAGTTTAACTACTGCTTTGACGTGGACTGGCTTGTAAAACAGTATCCACCAGAATTCAGGTGAGTTCCATGGGTAACAGAGCACTGTAATAATAATAATAAAACTGGATTGCTTTGAAACACAAGATTTGTATTTCTCAGATGAAAGCCACCCATCTTTTTAAAGTATTTATTTTGAAGCTACTGAAATCATACTGACATTAAGTCATTTTGAGCAAATAGCATTTTAAAGTCTGTATAATCACACACATTCTTTTAACGGATTGGAGCATTTTCCTCTGTGCTCCGTCCAGGAGTAGGTAAAGACAGACTCCAAGTCAAATAGCAGGACTTCATGCCCAATGTTAATATGAAGAAACAGCCATCTCCACATGGGCCCGGACCTGTACACCTGCCCGCACATGGCCAGATGCCGCACCCTGCTTAGCACCTCGGCACTGCCCTTTTCCTGAGAATCTCTGTGCTTCTCAAGTGATTCTTCCTGTAGTTCTGGAGTTGAGAAAGAAGGTCATGGGCCTTCCCTCGTCTAGGCTGTGGAGGTGATATGGGCAGTTCACCAGCCCCATGTTAGGCAGTGCAGACCGGCAGAGCATGGCACAGTGACGTGCCACCTGTCCTTGTTTCTAGCACATTTATACACAGGGGCAGAAATGATTGCTAGGGTCCTCAACATTCTTGGCGCACTTAAGGCATCCGATTGTGTTATTAGGGTAAAATGTTGCTGAAGTTTCCTGAGCAGCTTTGGCACTCAAGGGCTCGTATTTAATTGAGAACATGAAGGATTAGTTTTAGCTGCATGTTGATAGAAAAGACAACAGAAGACAACAGTGGTTTAAACAAAACAGAAATTAGTTTTTACAGCCCAAGAAGTCCAGATGGTATACGTTTGCGGTCTGCATTGGGGGACACCATGGTTTTCTCCAGGATTTATCTACCTAGCTTTTCTGGCTTTCTGTCGCACACGGTGTGTGATTTCAGGGTTCAAAGTCACCTCCTTGTCCAGCTTGGCAGCCAGAGCCTCAGTTCACTTGTTTGTGTTCCAGGTAGCAAGGAAGAGGTGAAAGAAGGAAGGGCTCATGTGCCCCCCCTGAGCAGCTGTCCTTCTGGTCCCACACGGCACCTGCTTCTCTCTCATTGAGCAGAGCTCAGGTCCATGACACCCAGCCCCAAAAGTGGCTGGGAATGTGACCTTTTAGTGAGCACAGCTTGTCATACAAAGACTCAGGGTACTGTTGGAAAGGAGAGACTGGATAGCTGGAACAGCGAGTGGGCTCAGCCACAAGCCCGTCCCGGAGCTGCGTCCCCGAGTGTGGCCTGAGTGTTTTCTGCTCTTCCTCCTTTTGCTTCTCAAAGACCTTGACATCAGATGTCTCCCCTTTACAGTGTTGGTAAAGTGCACACTAAAGTCCCTTTAGTACCTTTTATGGGTGCAATCTCACTTGCAGCTGTATTTGAGATGGTCCTTATAGAGGTCATCGGTCAACTCCAAATAAGGTCATTAGAGTGGCCACTAATCCAATATGGGAGGTGTCCTTATAAAAAGGGAAAACTTGAACACACACATAGAAGACCCTGGGAAGACACAAAGGGGATGCCATCTACATGACAAGGAGTGCCGAGGCCACCTGCAGGCAGGCCAAGGCCTGGAATGGATCCTCCCTTTCAGTCCCCAGAAGGCAGCCCCTGCCAACACCACAGTCTCAAATTTCTTGTTTCCAAAGCTATAAAATATCAAATTTCTCTCTAAACCATCTGTCTTGTGGGGCTTTGTTACAGCAGCTGTAGCATTTACAGAGTGTCCACTAGACTCTCAGTCAAAGGGCAGAAGCGTTCTTCCTCTCCTTCACTCCCTTGTTGCACAATGCATCTTGGGACTGCAGTCAAGAGCATTGTAAGGATGGGCAGTGTCAAGTTTAGGTAATATCCACAGTTTAGCAAATTCCAGCTCAGGAGAGTTTGTACCTCACTGCATTGTGCAGATGCTGCCTTTTTATAATAGTTCACAGAACCCATAAATTTGAAGGAATTAATGAAGACCTCAACCTTTATTAATCTGTTATATTTTTAGCATGACTTTATGGTCCAGTAACATTTCTTGTTTCCAGGAGGCATGCGTGAATGCTTCTTACATTACTCTCTATGCTGCTGTTCTAGTTGTCAATTTTTTTTTCAAGCAGTTAGGAATGTGTGCTTCGTAATTTTGTTTTATCTGAGAATTTACAATAAAACTTACATGGGCATAAGACATCAGTACTGAAATGGCATTTCCTATGGTGTTTCTTTGTAGTTGAGTGTTTCCCCTTCATGTGTGGCAGAGGATCATTCTGCAGTGTAATTGATAAATGTGAAAGTGGCTGCAGTTGTTTATCTTGCTTGATTGCTTGTTGAAGAATCCAATTTTTCTTGTGGTAGGAGAGCTTGTAAAAAGATACATTGATTTCTAAGGATCATCTTTGTTTGAATTAATTGAAGGTGAAGAATCCCTGAAAAGCTTTTAATCTTTTCCTGAAGAGTCTTTTTATATAGTCTTTGGAAATTTAAAAATGGCAATGTACTTTGCCATTGTGGTTCATTAGAATCTAACTACCTATTAATAAATCTGCATTGTGCTGTGGGGTTGGGCCCATTTCCTGTTGTGTCCTAGGTCCTATGCAGCATCCAGAGCAAATAGTAGGAGCTGGTAAATAGAAGCCCAGAGTGAATCCATTGCTTGATCCAAAACAACTCTGTATGTACAATGATGACTGTGTATCTTTAATCTATTTGATCTTAAATATATTATAGAGGTTCCTATGTGCTGCTTTGGACCAAAGAAGGTAATTGCTCAATTACTTACTCATTGAGTCTCAGCTCCTCTGTGTTACAGTGGACTTCAGGATCAGGCCATGTGGCCCCTGTACAAGGGTAACAAGTACAGCTGATGAGTGAGCCTCTGCTGAGGCTGGTGTGGGGCTCTGTACTCGGTCAGTGGTCAGAAGCAAATGCCTAGTGGTAAGGAAACCAGCATTCCTCAAAGAGGCAAGAGTTCAGATTCGTGAATGATGCATCTTAAACACTTCTCATCATGTTTCAGAAAGAAACCAATCCTGCTTGTACATGGCGATAAACGAGAAGCTAAGGCCCATTTGCATGCCCAGGCAAAGCCTTATGCCAACATTTCCCTGTGCCAGGTAAGCCGCCTGTTGCCACTTGACATCATGGTCATTCTGAGAGTTGGGAGGAACTGGAGAGCTTTAGTCCAGCCTCCCAGCCAGTGCAGTGATCCTTCCCCCAGTATCACCAGCAGGTATTTGTCTAGCCTCAGTCTAAACACTTCCTGAGATAGTGCAGTCCATTTGTGGGAGCCACCCATGGTTGGAAATATTTTTCTTTGTCTTAAAAGTCTCTCTGCTTGTAACTTCCACCCATTGGTCCTAATTTTCCTCCTGTGGAACCAACAGAGTAAATCTCTTTGCGCTTGTCAGTGATTCCTATATTCAAAGTAATCTATCCTGTTCCTCTTAGTTCCCTGTCTTCCAGGTGTAACCATTCAGCATTCATCAGTTGCGCTCAGTGCAGCATGGATCCATGTCTTTTCCGAGCCCACTAGTACTGTTTGCAGCTCGTTTGTCCGTGTACCTTTTTTTTTTCTTTTTTTAAGTACTGGGTATTGAACCTAAGCCCCTTCACGCTGAGCTATATCCCCAGCCCTTTTTATTCTTTATTTTGAGACAAGGTTTTGCTGAGTTGCTCAGGCTGGGCTCCAATTTACAATCCTCCTCCCTGAGCCTCCTAGAGTGCTGGGATTACAGACAGGCACCAACACAGCTGATTCTGTGTGCCTCTCGAAGCCTGAGCATCAGCACTGAGCAGGGCCTCTGGTTATAATGCAGTGGCCGCAGGCCTCTGCTGCTATTGACACTTTAGCCATCGTCTTCAGCTCTTTTTCACATCAGCTGCCCCTGAGGTCTATGCTAGAGAGATTCGTAGCTTAAAAGCTTGTTAGAAAATTTTAGCAACTCACATGCTACATGTGATACAAGCCTAGTGAGGGAGCACTGAATGGTTTCATAATGGGTATATCTGCTTGCTTTGCTGGAACCAATGCAAGGTAGAAAAGAAAGGACACATTCAAAAACTATTGTCCAGTTTCTCTGTAGTCTCCCATAATTTTCTCCTCATACTTTGTAGTCAGCCTACGATGTGACCAAATGAATCTTGGACTTTTGTTAGGACCCATTGCCTTATACTCTGCACCCAAAACAATCTTTTATTTCATGGGCCATGTTGAGCAAGAAACAGATAAAGTAAGAAGGAATGCAGAAGAATTTTTTGCATTTGTGGAAATGGTTATGAATTTGCTGGTGGAACATTCATCTTTTCATGTTCCTTTTAGCAGGATCAGTGGTCCATTTATGAGAAAACATGGCAAAAAATACTTTTATAACTATGTTCTCTTTGTTATCAACAGTGAAATTGGGTCAAGATTTCTGCTCTTGGAATACAGAGACATGGTTTCCATGTTCCTTTTCTTTGCTGTTTTCCTTCTAATGTCTTTTCTTCTCCACTCATGCAAGATTTAAGAATTTCAACTCACATTTTATTACTCTTGTTCCAACTGTAAATGATATGTGTGTATGTTTGAGATTAAAACAGTGTGAGAGCTCAGTCAGGTCAACTTTAAACATACCCTAAAACTTTGCCGATTTAACCCACTGCACTTTGTGTAATTGTGGTTTCCACATACGCCCTCTTCCACCCAACATGTGCCTCATCTCCTGCTCAGGGGGTGTGTCTTTGCTTAGCAAGCACCTAAAATGCCATTGTATCTGTTTCCAGCAACAGAAGAGGCTAAGCTGGAGCAGTATAGCCACGGGCAGAAACCAAGTAGAAAAGGAATTCTGAAAAACGGTGATTAAATAAGTGGAAACAGAAAGTGTGTTTCAGGCCGGGGATATAGCCAAAAAAAAGTGTTTCAAATGCAACCTATACTGAAAAGTTTAGCAGTTCTGCTCTTGGTAATAAGCTCTGAACCGGCCACTAGAGGGCGTAAGGCCCCAAGAGCTGTATGCAGGGCTCAACTAGAGTTCTAGGTAAAGAGGCGTGACCTTACCCTGACCCGTTGAAATGCCTTTATATCTCGTCCTTAGGATGAATTCTTGAATTTTTCTAGCAACTCTGTGTCACTGAAGCAGAGGCACGTTAATCAAAGAATCGGGATGGTAACATTTTTTCCTACTTTGCAGATGTGGGGCCCAAGGCTGGGTATGGTAGTAGCCAGGGTCAGTCTGCCTGGATTCTGTCCAGCTCTCCACCTGGATCCAGGGGCTATAACAAGATACCTGGGTAACTTTTTCCTGTGCAGCTTAACATATTTATTTCTCATGATCTAGAAAGTAGGAAACCTAAGGTCAAAGTGCAGCACAATTTGGGTCCTGGGGAGGGCCCTTTTCCTGGCTTGTATATGGCCACTGTCACATGGTGCCTGCACTTAGCAGAGGGAGGTAGGGGCCCTTATAACTGTTCACATGTCTTTTCTTGTAAGAACACTGTTCGCAATTGATTGCACACATGCAAGACTTTATTAACTCTTAACACCCCCCAAATTTTCCTCTGTCCCAATCACATTGAGGGTTGGGACAACATATGAATAGGGGGGTGACACTTAACATTTAGTCCATAACACTGTGTCGTTCTGGTCTTGTCACTTAAGTCTAATTATTTAAGCCTAATTTCTTTTTTCTTTTTTTTTTTTTTTTTTGGTACTGGGGATCGAACTCGGGCCCTTGGGCTTGTTGGGCAGGCAGCAGAACCACTGGGCTAAATCCCCAGCCCACCTAATTTCTTACATTCACATAAGATTACTAATGCTCTTTATCATAGAGTTTTAAAGAACTTGGTGCATTAGCCCCCCAAAAGCACTCATCAGATACCTGTTTTTTATGCTTCAACTTACCCAAAAAACATATAACTTGTACAGAACAAAAGCCAGGTCTTTTGCCTAATGCTCTTTCTCAGCTAAGTATCTGCTTACAAAGTGACAGTCTTCCTTCTAATTTTGTAATTTTAAAGACAGGAAGATCATTTCCCAGTTCTCTCCCCCATGGCCAGAGCCCACAAGCACACGCTAGTTGTTAGCATCCCCGAACACACATGAAAGAGTGCAGTCACCTGGACTTCCAGTCAGCAGGCATCTCCCCGGGGCCTGTGTTGTACCCATGTGTGTCCCAGGGCCCATTACTGTCCCCAGCAGACAGTACCCTCTTCTGTCATGAGGTAGGTTGGTGGGGTGTGTAGTAGTGATTGCCACTGTGTATAGAGCTCACTGTATGCTCACACCCTTTTATATGCATTTTCTCATTGATTCCTGATGACTCTAAATCTCAATTTTTTTTTTTGATAGAACTGGAGATTGAATCCAGAGCCTTCTCACTGAGCTATATCCCCAGAGCCCCCACCCTTTTTTGAGACAAGGTCACCCTGGCTGGGCTTGAACTTGTGTTCTTGCTTCAGCCTCGCATGGTGTTGGGATTACTGTGTGCATCGCCACACCCATCTAACAATACCCTGCTTTAAAGAAGAGAGCTGAGGCATAAAAACGGGTGTTTTCCAAAGTCATATAAATTTGTGAAGACAGGATATCTTTTCTTGCAGAGCCTGCACCTTCTCATGTGTTCTGCTCCACCAAGGCCTTACTATCATGAATCCTGGATAAAACATTTTTCTTCTCCACGTGCCCTCTGTTTGTTCATAAAGAGGTCACTTTATAACAGAAATGGATTTAATGTCTTTATTTTTCAGCACTTGCTATGTCTTCGGTCTAAAAAAATTTCTATTTTCAGTTATCTTTATGTTGGCATCACATTCAGTGTTTCCTTTAAATGAACTCTGAAAACTGTGTATTAATTTCTTCTATAACAAGCCAAACACCTAATTTTAAACCTTTGTGTGGAATCACATTTGTTTTATTAGTTTTTGACAACTAAAGAAATTAAATTTCTAACTCCTAATTACTGTAATTTAAAATGCAGTAATATTGAATCATTCTGGGGAACCAAACAATTTTTTTTATGAGCCTCACTAGATGCTACAATAAAAGCCATCAATAGAGGGCAGCAGACACAGGTGTTTGTGGGGGGGGGAGTGTTTAATTGGCGCTTTTTAAAATTTCCAGTAGATAGGAATATTGAGGCTTTTTTTCCTTTTAAATAAATGACTTCTTTTTCATCCTAGGCGAAGTTGGATATTGCATTTGGAACACACCACACGTAAGCAATTTTTATGAAATGGGAGGATATGATTTTAATACATCGAAGCATATTATTTCAAAAATGCTCATACAGGGACTAATGTGTGATCATTTTTCTGGGAGAAGGGAAAAAACAAAACTGTCAGTAGTGGACTGAATGGAGTTGTTCTCTAATAGCTTTAAGATTTAATGCTGAGATTCTGGCTCTCAGCGTGAAAAAGTATAAACTTCTGATTCTGAAGCTTCTCCCTTCTGTTCAGGCCTTGTGTACCTGGCGTGGAAGGAATAGATTAGGACTGTGTGGTCCTTGTGATTATTGATGCTTGTATGTGTGCAGTTGTTACCCCAGGTTTTGGGGTGCTGGAGTCTTCTTCTAGAGAGGGATTCTAGGTTCTTTGGGTCCTGAACAAAGAATTGGTCAAACTAAGCACACCGGTAGCAAAGTTATAATAAAGGCAGGGGGAAAAAAGGCTCTGAAGGGCGTGTTTAGGCCAAGTAAAAGAAAACAAGCACGCCCTACAGCCCAAAGGCAGGCCACCTTGCAAGAGACAACACAATGGCAAGAACTCAGTTCAGACAGTCCTTTTGGCATCTCCCACACCTCAGGCTGATGTCAGGTCTAGGGCATCCAGTCGAAAGCCTACTCAAGTCCACATGCTGGGCTTTGGGAACTGTTCTGCGTATGTGTCTTGGGATTTTGTAATTAACAGATCATGCCTACTTCCCCAGCCAGCTTTGCCAAGTCCTAGTCTCCTGTCTCACAGTCTTGTGCCTGTAGGCGCCCTTTCTTTTACAAAGTTCTGATTTGGATAAGCATGAGCTGTACCTAATAGCATGCTGTCGGTCAGCTCCACACTGCAATTGAAAGGAAAACTATTTTACCAGAAGTCATCAGCGTTAGGACTAGCCCAGCTCAAAATAGCTCTTTTAGAATAATTTTCTCATGCATGCATGCATATTTTTGGTCCTATTTTATAGATCAGAAAACTGAGGCCCAGAGTAAGCAAGCTGATTTTGCTTGGCCAGAGACAGGAATAGAACTCATTTGTTTTAACTTTAAATTTATTCTTGTTTCCTCACCCAGCCTTATCCCCTAACATCTAACAGTTTTTGATTCAGAGTTTAAAATGCTGCAGGAAATAATTCTGATACAACCTTTCCCAACTAGATGAAAATCTGTATTTACATTTTGTTGAAATATCAGTATCCTGAGCTCATGTCTTGAAACTACTTCTGGTTGCTTCTTGTTTTACAAAGTATTTATTAATTACCTCTTATGCTCTTGAGTCACACACAGGAAGATATAGTTTTTGTCCCTGCAGCTTTTTTTCTTTTAGTAAGAGAAGTCAAACACAGATGAGTTAGGAGGAAGAAAGGAGAAAATCCAGCTTATGGCAGTGGGGTATAAGCTGCCTTCCCAGCATGCAGCCGGAGGAGGCAGCAGGAGCCTGAGGTGATCTCAGAGTGCCTCATACCTGAGCTAGGGTAGACTGCCCAGGTGCTGCATGCACAGGACATGGAGATAACCAAGATGCAGGCCTGGCCTGAAGCTCACAGTCCCGGCAGGATCAAATGTGCTGTCCAGTTTCTCTAGGACGCTGTGCAAACCTGTGGTTTGTCTCACAGAGTTTTAGGATGGCAAAAGCCCCCACAGCCCTAGTCACTTTCCCATGGCTGGGACACAATGCCCAGCACCCACAACTGAAAGGAAAGCTTTATTTTGTCTCACAGTTTGTAAAGATTTCAATCTATAGTCGCCCGGCTCCAAGACAAAATGGCATGGCAGGGGGAACCAGAGAGAGAAGGGCGGGGCTGGAGAAGGAGACAAACCCTTCCAGGCCCAGGCCCCATCGCCGCCTCTTCTGACCTCACCTACTAGCACCAAGTCAGATATAAGTCCCTGTAACCCAGTCACCTTCCAAAAGCCCCATGTATGGGTATGTAAGGCTCTTGGGGAACATCTGCTGTATAAACCATAACACCCCCTCCATGGGCTGGGAACAGTTACCTCTGAAGACCATAGACTAGATGGAGAGAAAGAGTCAAAGCAGCTGAAAGGCGAATGTCATTATCCAAGCCGGAGGGAGTGGGTCACAGGGTGTGGGGTGTGTGCCTCTTCCCACCCACCTCTGACTGGGACCTCCCACACCCCTCCATTTAGTCTCTTTCTCGCCAAGACTCTGTCTCCCCCAACTTCTCCTTCCCCAGTACCATCAAATGTCCACTGTTGCCACCACCAGCACTGTCAAAGTTGTTCATAGTGATGGGAGCGCATGACGACATGTATGATTCCAACAAGTTCTGCCATGGGATTGCTTTGTGACCCGGATGATCCCCATTACTTCCTGAAGCCTGCAGTTGTAAAATGGGAAAGTCCTCCTTGCCTGGATTTCTGTAGAACAGTGCTGGCATGTAGGGACCCAACATGTGGGACTAGCTTCACATTTGGGAAGTGGCCTCCTGCCACCCCCACTGCTCAGACAGTACGGCAGATCTGGTTTCTTCCCCCTTTCTACCTGTTTTGTGTTTTACAGTGCTAGGGATGGAACCCAGGGCCTCACACATGCTAGGCAAGTGTTGTACCATGGAGCTACACTCCAGCCTTTTCTTAAGTTCTTTTATGATGTCGAATCTCAATAACCTTCCCAGACTGGCCTCAAACTCGCAGTCTTTCTGCCCTAGTCTCCCCAGTAGCTGGGGTTACAAGCATGTGCCACCATTCCCAGGCCCTACCTACTTACAAGGTTCTGCCTGCTTTGAACTGTGACCTTGTCGGCACTTTTGTCTATGAAGAAAATTAATGTGGCTCCCTTTAAATTCATAATTCTATTTTTGTAAGATTGACTGACATTAGTGCGTGATTTTCCTGATAAGTGATGCCTTGATTAGTGGAAATATTTGTAAAGCTTATAGCATGAATCCATAACTGGCTTATCCTTAATTATAATCAGCTGCTAATGTGGCAAATGTGTGTGTGTAAATTCCCCCAGATCTCAGCGAGGCGTTTCATAACTGGAAAAAAGATTGCTCAGCAGCTGTCATTTCTCCAGCTTTGCATTAATTTACTGTTTGCTAGATTAGGTTAATTTCTTATCTTGGCAAGAACTAAAAAATCTCATTCTGTTTTCTGTTCTTGTATCCTTTTTTCTTTTTTCCCAGCCCTAGGGATTGAACCTAGGGCCTTCTCACTGAGCTACACTTCCAGCCCTTTTTTTGAGACAGAGTTACCCAGGCTGGGCTAAAACTTGCTATCATCCTGCCTCAGCCTCCCAGAATGCTGAGATAGGCATGTGCCACCATGCTTGGCTTCTCTTTTTCTTCATCTTTTTATGCTTACCTTACCCTGCGCAAATAGTAGTCATGTGATTGAAGAGAACCCATGGTTTGTTTTTTTTCACATGTGAACTAAGTTACATCAGTGAGTATCAAGTAGCATTTTGACCTCAGTGAAAATGAGAAGACAGAATTACAACCTTGAGAAGTGGCACTACTTGAGGAAAGAAAACTAGATTACTGAAGTAATGATAAGACAATTAGGAGAGAAAACTAGATTACTGAAATAATAACATGATAAACAGGAGATAAAAGCCTTCTAATATTAGATTACAAAATAAAGCAAGCCAGTAATGATTAACATTTGACAGAATGCATTTTTATTTCATTTACAGCAATTCCAGGGTGGGGTTGATCCTCTGTGTTCCAAGTAAAAAGCAAAGATTTGCGGATACTGCCTGGCTCACCTAGGGTCAGACAGCTTCTAAGTGACAAAGATGGGACTCAGATCTTCAGAATTCAAATGGAAAGCTCTTACTTACACTCTGTCTCTCTCACTGGAAAGAAAACAAAAGAAATGTGTTTGATGACGAGAGGCCTGGGGAAGGCCTCTCTTCCCATTGCACAGGAAAGGTCTCAACCAGGCTCACTTGTCACAGGAACAAAGGGAAGACTGGGCTGTCATCTATGGAATACAAAAAAATCAGTCTAATGAGGATGAAGCATCTTGTAAATTTTTTAGTTGCAACCCACAATAGAAATACTGTATGTCATACATTTTAGTGTGCTGCGTGTGGACATATCTATGTACCGACACCAAAGTTTCATGATCCAGTACTTTATTTAAATGTATGCAGCATAGTCTTCTTTTTTTTGGTACCAGGGATCGAACTCGTGTCCTTGCACTTGCGAGGCAGGCAGTGTAACCACTGAGCTAAATCCCCGGCCCATGCAGCATACTCTTTTTTTTTTTTTTTTTTTGGTACTGGGGATAGAACTTGAGTCCTTGCGCTTTCAAGGCAGGTGGCGAAACCACTAAGCTAAATCCCCACCCCTCAGCATACTCCTGATTTATTCTGTTTCAGTTGTTAAAACATGCGAGATGAACCACAGAAAGATGCTGTGCCCCTCCTTGGAAAAACCCCAGACAAGGCTCCCATAGTCCATTAATAAGAACGTGTTGCTGAACATATAATAAGGGGCCAAACTGGAGCGGTTTGAAATGCCAGGACTGATGTAGACAGAATGGGGTGAATATTCATTGACCACCAGACGTGCTGAGTATTTTTGGAAGGTGGCTTTCTACTTATCAGCAGAATTTCATAATGATAATGTGCAAAAAGGGAAATTATGAATGTTAAAAGTTTGGGTAATATAAGGGTTTGAGAATTTCTCGAGCTATGAGTTGTGTTCGAAAAATATGGTAAAGATTTAAATTTTTTCATAATTTATTGTAGTAAAAAGCACATTGCAGGGCCCAGGGATTTAGCTCAGTGGTTTCGCCGTCTGCTGTGCAAGCACAAGAACCAGAGTTTGATCCCCGGTACCAAAAAAAAAAAAAAAGCACATTGCTGTTAAGCGCCTTCAAAATACTCTCCCTCACTTTGAGCACAAATCCCATCGTTCTTGCTACCTTCTGAAATAGCTCTGGAAGTCCTCTTTTGTGTCTTTACTTGCACTGTTATGGCTGCCTCAGTGTCCTAAATCAATTCAAAATGTTTACCTTTTGTGCTTATTTTGACTTTTGGAAAAAACCGGAAGTCACATGGTGCCAGATCCGGTGAATAAGGTAGATGAAGATGTGCCATACTGTTTTTACGAGCCTGCCTTTCCCTTGGGTGGCACTCAGCAGCAAGCATTCATCGTGGGGTTTTTTTAATCACACCTTTTAAAGACATGAAAGTGAACTTCTAGAACTGCTTCAGAAAGTGACAAGAATGATGGGATAAGTGTGTTCAAAGTGAGGGGGAGTATTTTGAGGTGGATTAATATCATTTACTGTGCTATTTTTAAAATTTAAATATTCATGCATTTTGATTACTTATGTATTTATTACATTTTCATTAGAAAGGTATTACATATTTGGGAAGTCCTGTTAATACTTTTCATCCCCTTTCTGTTTTTGAAGTAAAATGATGTTACTACTGTATGAAGAAGGCCTCCGGGTCGTCATCCACACCTCCAACATCATCCGTGAAGACTGGCACCAGAAAACCCAAGGGTTCGTAAGGGCCTGTTTACTTCCTGGCACTCACGGCTTGTGCTGAGAAAGGTCAAAAGCCAGAACATTCACCTTATTCTTTTCCTTTTTCTCTTTCTTTTTTTTAATTTTTGTTTTTGTGGGGATTTTGTTTGTTTTGTTTTGTGTTTTTGCAGTGCCGGGGATTAAACCCAGGGCCAAGCTCTCTACCACTGAGCTACACCCCAGTCCCTATAGTGCTCTTTTGCTGCCACCTCCACTTCCATATACTCTCTTTGGTGCATAATAATCTACAGCTATCTCTATGTGTAAACATAATTCAAAAATAATTCTGAATATGATGAGAAACCGCTCATGTGATGTGATCAGATTTGTTTCATATTCCCTAAGAATCACTCTGCCTTCCATGTGGAGATACATAGTGAGAAGCCATTAGAGATGATCAGTTGTGTTCCTGAGTATTAAAGGTTATTTTTTTCCATCCTGCAGAATATGGTTGAGCCCCTTGTATCCTCGAATTGACCATGGAACTCAGGGATCTGGAGAATCAAAAACACATTTTAAAGCTGATCTCATCAGTTACTTGACGGCTTATAATGCTCCTCCTCTCCAGGAATGGATAGATACCATCCAGGAGCATGATCTCTCTGAAACAAAGTACGTGTTGTCTTGCCAATCCTGGGTGCTTAGAGTAGGTTCATAACTTTCGAGACTCACAAGTCTGGAGCTCGGGGACCTTGGAAAGGGGTGGAATGGTATTGGGTTATGCTTCGTGATGTGATGAGGGGATGCCAGCAGATTCACTCAGTGTCTGCTCCTTGTGGATCTCAGGCTTCGAAGAGGCACCCAGTGAATCTCAGAACCCTGAGCCTCCTACTGGGGTACTCTAAATATAGTAAGTTCTTTGTCTGGTACCTCATACCTTTGTGTTCCACAATTACCTGGTTTGCAGGAAAATGAGTTTTGAGAGTATCACTTAGGTTGAGGAAGCATCCCAAGGAAATGGATAGGCTCTTAAAACAATTAGAGATTATGTTAGAGATTATGTTAGTTCTCGTGTATATTTCATAATTTTTTTAAGGTGGCAAAGCACATTACTATATCCTATAACTTGGGTTTTATTTCTTTTTAGTGTTTACCTTATTGGCTCAACCCCTGGACGTTTTCAAGGAAGTCAAAAAGATAACTGGGGACATTTTAGGCTTAGAAAGGTAAAAGAACTCTTACTTTCCGTATTTTTAAAAAATTTAATATCTATTCTCTCTCCTTTTTCATTTATGATGGTGTATTTTGCTAGTAGTTTCACAATATTTCCAGTACAGTTCTGAGAGAATAGCAGGCACTTGATAAGCTGATTGTCTAATTATGGTTTTCAGTACTTGTAATTTAATTTTTTGCCTCTTTTATGGATGCAGATATCTAAATATCATAAGTATATTACCTTTAGTGGTTTTTACATTTCCTGCAATAAAAATAATTAGAGCTTCCCATTCATACAAGTATTATAGCTTTTGATTGCTTTGCATATCAAGGATTTTTAACAAGCAAGTTAAACAAGAACAGAGAATAGTGTTGAGTAAAGGCTGTAACTTAGCTATAAATATTTATGAAACCAGTTACCTTAAGGAAACATTACAAAAATGGCATTTGCTGTTGGTATGAAAATGAACCAAAAGAGTCTTTAACAAGATAAAACAACAAGCAAATTGAGGATGAAAGTTTTCTTTATCTCTCTTTAGTTTACCAACCTTAATAAAATCCCTAAAGTGGCTTTCTTAAAAGCTTTACCTCTTATTCCATAAATTAAATACAGATTGAGTATCACTTGACCCAAAATACTTACACCAGAAGATTTGGCTTTCAGATTTTTTTCAGTTTGGAATATTTGTGTGCATAATAGATAGCTAAGTTAGATAGAAAGTAATAGGCAGTCAGAGAGGGATCAGGCCCTCGAGGGAGTCAATGAGGAGGATGAGACACAGCAAAATTGGGGCCAAAGGTAAATTCAAAGAGAGCTGGGCCTCAAGGTGGAGATGTGCTAGTGAGAGATAGACAGCAGCTTGAGATTATACTGTAATTAGCACCCACCTGGTCCAGTGAGCCCAGATAATGTATCATACACATAGGTGGGTGACCAGAACATCCTGACCAGGGGTACCTTTGTTCTTTCTACATTAACAATTGTAGATAAGCTAAAGTTAATGATGCTCGCCGTATACCCTTCCTGCATGCCTCACTTTCCTATTGGATCAATATTAGTTAAGCGACTATGCTCATAATCCTGTAAGTTGATTGTAGTTTGACCCATAGTTACCCAAGTTGTGATTTTGCTGTATAAAATACCCTAGGGCAAAGACCCTCAGCAGCCACCCACTTTCGGGACCCCCTCCCATCTCTCAGAAGCTTTCTCTCAATAAACCTTTTGGACTCTTGACCTCTTTTGTCCTTGAGTCCATTCCTCAGTATCAAGAGACACGAACTCAGCCCTGGTTGGAAGCTACTTCTCCATGACATAGTGAGGTATCTTTGGGAGGGGACCCAAGTCCAAACACAAAGTTCATTTGTTTTATATACACCTTAAATAGCCTAAAAGTAACTTTATGCAGTATTTTTGGTATAGCTATTTTGATTGTGACTCATCATATGAAATCGAGTGTAATTTCTCACTGCGACATCATCTTTGTGCTCAAAAAGTTTCAGGTTTTGGAGCATTTGGGGCTTCAGATTTTTGGATTTGGGATATTCTACCTGTATATTATGTGAAAATCTCCCTGTTAATGAAATCTTTTCAGTATTATTTTAAACACCATAGGTTAAAACCAGCAAGATTTCAGAGATAGCATTTTTATGGCTTGACCTAGACAAGGGGTAGTCCCCACTGGCTCTGTGCATGGCTCTGTGCATGGTTACGGGGACAAATATCGATACCTGAGTTCAAATCCTAACCTGTTATCTATAAGCCTTGTGACCTTGACTTGTTCCTTAACTTGCCTCTCTTGTCATCTATAAAATGGGCATATTAATCATAACTTCTCTCCCAGGCTTGTTGCCATGGGTAGTGGGGTCCCAGACAGGTTTCTAGACTCTTGTGCTTAAATGATTGTGGCATGCAATGGTAAGAAAAAGCAGCAGAGATTTAATCAGGTGACAGGATGCTCAGAGTGAGAGGACACATGCCAGTGGAAAATAAGAAAGTAAAAATGGCACAAGTGCTTAAGGCCATTAAGCTTAAGAATTTAAAATGTTGCACAGGGTCTAGAGCATCTCCCATTGGGTCTTCCAGAGAGCATGGTTGACAGCGTGATTGACAGGGTGCTGAGTCAGGTCAACTGTGTCTACTGTGCATGTCCTTTCCCACAATTCACTCAGTTATAATTGGATATATGAGGTGCAGTCCATATACATGAATCTTTAGTGAGCTCCAGGTGAAGAAAGATTACTAAAGGTCATACTGGAGGGTCAACCATGCATGCTTCCTGGTTTGGGACATTGGAATTTTCCAAGGCAGGCTTAGGGGTCTTTGTTTTTCCCTCTCTGCCTCTGGGTAGTAGGCCTTAGGACAGTAGTCAGGGTGTTGGCCTTGGGGCATGCCCAGGTTCAGGTGAGTGGAGGGGAGTGGTCCCATAACCCCAGTTATACTACCTGTGTTAGAACTGTGTAGGAATTAAATGAAGCAGTGAATATAAAATAAGGCCAGGAACATGGTAAGTATCCTGTAAGGGTGAGTGATTATAGGCTAATGGTTTAGGCAGGCCAGAGAGTAGCAACTATGCATGTTCACAGTCTTTCAGAAAGTTGAATAGCATCTGTAGAGATCTCAGACCACGTTTCACACACAGTGGTAGCTCATTTTGAATCACAGCTCCTGTCCCAGAAGGGCAAGCAGGTGATATCTGCGATGCAGTACAGTCCAGCACAGGCCCCTGTCCAAGACCATGCAGCTGACTGGGGGTTGAGCCCCACAGTAGTAATTGGCTCTTGTTGTTATCAGTTTATTTCTGTTTCCTACACTAGGCTATAGTAGGTAGAAGTTGAGAACTTTGGGCTTTTTGGGGTGTGTGTGTGTGTGTGTGTGTGTGTGTGTGTAAATGTGTAAATGTTTTGGTTTTTTTGATCCGGGGATTGAACTCAGGACCTGTGCTTGTGGGGCAGGCGGCAGAACCAGTAAGCTAAATCCCCAGCCCTGTGTGTGTAAATATTAATGCCCAAGCTGTGTTAGGGAAAATTATGCATATTAAATTAGCAAACATCAGTCAGAATATGAGCTCCACTGGGGCAGGGGCCATGGCTTACTCTATTTTTGTCTAGGTAAGCACTCGATACATGTTTAAGTGGATACAATTTCTAAATATTTTCTGAATTGTTTCTGTATCTGTGTGATTGACAAGTCACTCTCACTTGCCCAACCCATTTGCCATGCCCTAATCTCTTGTCTTAGTTTATTTGAACATTTCTACTAAAATGAATCTTTTAAAATATGTTTTGAACCTTTTATTTCCTTTTACTGCAAATCAAAAGACTTTGGAAAGGAAAATGTCTCTGTCCACCAACTATGTTAAAAAAGGAATATTTGTAGTGTTTAAAAAATATTTTCAAGGGCCAGGGATTTAACTCATTGGTTCCACTGCCTGCCCTGCAACTGCAAGGACCCGAGTTCAGTCCCCAGTACCAAAAAAATATATATATATTTT